ATCCAACTGGGATCAGGAATCACAACCCCTGAGTGACCAGCATATTAACAGTGACTGAATAATTTAATAGACCCAGTAAAAAATAAACTGCTTCAATCAAAATAGAGAAATTTCAGGGAAAAAAAAAAAAAGGAACGTTTGGAATGTTTCTGCTTCCCCAAAAAAAGGCACATTTTGATTTTTTTTCAGAGGTTTCAGTGTTTACAGCTTCGACAGCCTCTCCTTTTTTAATTGAGCAATTCGATTAAAAGTCACCAGAACGACAGCAACACCCCACAAAACCGGTCAAATCCAGTCCCCTGCCCCGCTCCAAAGCCCCCAGCTGGGAAAATTTGGGTTGTTTTACAGGAAACAGCTGAGCAGTTCAGAGATTGTGAGAGAAAGAGAGGGAGAGGGGTCATGGAGAAGCCTCCAGTAATAAAAACATCACTGCATGAGCAAACTGAAAGGGTGCCCAAAAGCCAAACAAAATTCATGTCATCCCAGAGCCCAGACAGAGAGGGGCTGTTTAATACAGACCAGCTCATCAGAGAGAGTTTAAACCTCTGGTTGCAGATCCAGGGCCATCAGTGAAGGGACTTGCTAGCCCCAGGAATATCCCCCCTGCCTCAGTTTCCCCTCGGATAAATTATGAGGACAGAACTGCCAAGGTGAATTGTTTGGGTGTAAATTATCAAATTAGTAAGTAACAAAATAAAAGAGTAGAAAAAAAAAGGAAAGCAACAAAATAATTGGATTGGATGCACCACTAATTGGAGTGTCTTCATTGGCAGTGCCTTTCCTTCCAGCTGCACACAGAAACCTTCCCCTTCCCAGGCACTAAGGAAAGGGCAGTAAATCCAACCCTGCTCCATCCTGTTTGCTCCCTCCTCTCTGCATCACAGTAGCAGCTCTGATGATCCCCGTGCTCCTGCAGTGCTGGCAGAGGTGCCAGGTGCCAGGCACTGACAGCTCTGGACCCGCAATTTGCTGCTCAAATAATGCCTGATTGTTGTCCTGGCAGTGCCTGCTGGGCCCAGGGATCGAGGCTCTCGTGAGGAATTGTCCCCGCTCTAAAAAGCCCCACTTAAACCCACGAGGGAAGAAAAAAGGGAAGCAAACACAGGTCAGGCCAAGCCGAGACCTCTGAAACGTTCCACCTGAGCTGCTGCAGGAGCCCTGGCTCCTGAAAGGCAGTGAGCATCAATCCTTGGAAACAGCAGCTCAAACACCCCTCAGTGTGATCACTCGTGGAGTTATTTACCCTCCTAGCACCCCGGGGTGGCTGGGATGGCCCCTGCTGGGAGTTGGGGGGGCACAGAGAAGCCACAAACAGAAGCAGAGGAGCTGGTGCTGGCAGCGGGATGCAGGTGCCCCAAAGCCTGGAGCATCCTCCCGCTCCACGAGCTGCATTCCCGCAGGTCCTGCATTATGCATTCAGCACCGGGTGAGAGTTTTAACAGGAGCCCTTCTGCTGCTCAGGTGTGAAAAGGAAGGGCTGGATTTTCAGCAGGGATCAGCCCAGTGGGCAGGGATGCTGTGGTGGGGACAACGTGGACATTTCCCAGCAGGAATGCGGCGCGCCTGCAAAAATCCAGCCTTAATTGCAGCGGCTTGGAGCTCATCCCTGAAGCAGAGAGGGAGCCCAGAAGGCGAGAGAGAGAACACAGGTCTCGAGTTGGGAGACTGGCAGCTGGAATGAGGCGAAGGAGGGAGGCAAAGAGAGCAGGAGACAGATGAGAGGTGGCAGCGGTGGCAGGAGCGCAGACAGAGCCCAGCCGGCTCCCGGGGCTCACCCGCTCTGCTCTGTGGCTCGAAAATAATTCCACAGCAGTTTCTTTTCCAGCCAGGCTGCCCAGACAAAGACACCAGCAGAGATTGTGAGCGACTGAGCAAACAAGCGGCAGATGAGCAGCACTGGCTGCAGGCAAAATGCTACCTGAAAAGAAACCCTGATTAGAAACCTAAAGAGAGAGCAAGAGATGCTCAGGCTGATTACGGATGACTCTGAGAAGTTAATTGTTCACCAGATTGTAATCTGGGCTTTTGCATCTACATTAATCAACAGGTTGCTTTCTGCTCTCAGTTTTCCCTTTACAAACAGCAGGAGCAAGTGAATTTAGAGGAAGGCCAACCCAGCAGGTCAAAGCTCTGCGTGGATGGAGTGTGCTGAAAGCAAGCAAAGGGCCTTTTTTAAATAGAGACCTTTCGCTGGTTTTCTACCTGTAAAGAAGCAAAACAAGACCACGGCAGAGAGCAGAGCTGACCTTTCTAGGTGTCAGTACACGAGTTACACCCAGCAGAACTCACTCCAAGCTGGGTTGGGATCTGCTCTGAACTGGCCCCAGAGCCAAGACCCCCTGCCCTCTTGCTGGAGAAGCTGCTTTAAGTTTGCCTCAATTTCCCTGAGCACGGAAGGAGAATTTGGGAGGCTCCTACTGAGTATAAACCCTCTTGGAAACCCTTGCTGTTATTTGACGTGACTCTCAAACACACATCCCGGATTTTCTGGAGATTCTCAGACCTCCTGGCCCAAACCTCAGGTCTGTGTGGAAGCCAGAGGAATGTCTCGGGGTTTACAAGGGTTGACCAAACATTCATTTCTCTCCAGAAGGCCAGACCAAAGGGATGGTCTCAGTGGAAGCAGCAACGTGTGGATATTTTAGTGCAGACATGACCTATGGAAAGCACAGAGATGGGTTTCTGTCTGACCAGGTGACAGGACACAGGACAGAGAGAACAGACGGATCTCATGGGCTTGGGAGATCAGAACTCAACTTCCCGAGCTACCACAGGCTCCTTGTAACACCTTGAGCCATTTTGCCTCTCTGTTTTACCACGTGCAAAGTGCAGCTGCCTTCATCCACCTCATCTAGATCCAGTGCCAGCAACAGAAGGCAAAATCTGTCCCCTCCAGCCCCCCTGCTCAGGGCTGTACCCTGACAAACAAGCCAGTGGCACTGGCAATGAATGCACATGAGAGGCAGCAGATAAAAGCTGATAAAGCTAAAGATTTAAAGCAGCTCGTTTGGGAGTCAGTAAAAATCAGCCAAGCACATCCAGCTGCATTTCAGTCACCTGTAACCTCCGAATATGTGACACCATCACTTGGCTCTGTCACTGGCTCGGCAGCAAAGCCTGTCTGAAGGGTCCATTCAGGGGCCACAAAGAGCTTGTTCAGTGAAAAGGGGCCTTCGTGGCACTGAGAGGAGGATTTTAGTGCTTCCACGCCCATCCCTGCCAGCATCCCAAAGCCCCACAGAGCTCAGGGAGCAAACCTCTGAGAACAAAGCAAGGTCAAGTGTTAACAGATGGGGGGACTCAGACATGGGGATATGGTGGTGACGTGTCCAAGGTCAGGCAGAATCCGTGGCAAGGCCATGGACAGATCCTCAGAGTCCTGTTTAGTTACAAATTTTTCTCTCTTTCTTTCTAGCCAAGTAGGATAAGAGAGGGGGAACTCCCAGCTGTTACTGGCGAGGTTGTTCCACTACTCCTTTATTAACTGCTCTCATTTGGACTTGGCACCAATATTTTCCAGCATGGGTGAGTAAACCTGAGCACTTGGAAACAAACCTGCAAGACCTGCCATCAGAAATGGCCCTGCCTGGAGAACGGACACCAAAACCTGCTCAGAAGTTTTCTGGCATGCCAAGAGCCTAAAAATCAGTGCAACTGTGAGCTGGGTGCCTCACACCTACACACAGAGATGAAGTCTCACTGCTGAGGTGCCAGCTGGTGAACCAGGTGCCCTCCTACTCCTGCCTCTGCTCCTCCTGTGCATGGGGCTCCAGGACAGTCACCTCCCATCTATGTGTCTTCCCCCGGGGAGGAAAGGATGCTCTAGGCTACAAATGCACTTTGAGATCTCAGTGTGCCCCCACTGACGTGTTCCTGCTGACACAAATTGTCCAGTTATCTCGTGGCTGGCTGGCTGCACCAGGAGAATCTTTTCAGGATCACGGGAACTGGTTTTCATGACCTCTCCCCAGATGGGGTGACCCAGATGCCCTGGCAAAGCCTCCTGAGGCAGGGAAACAAGACTCTGCTTGCATTTACCACAGTTCAGCTGTGGGGAAGCACATCTGCAGATCTTTGTGCCGCCCCATTACCGCTGAGGAGGAAATTAATCCTGTTTCCTTGCAGGGTCCTGTCTGAAGGCACTTGCCCTTTCACAAATCTTATCCAGAGGCTCTTAACTTTTTGCCTGATGCTTGTTCAAAGCCCTTCCCCTTCAGGCACCTTCTCCAAGCCCGACACACACACACACACGTCACATCACACTGCTCATCTGCTTGATGCACAGCACAAAACCCTGTGCCAGCAGCCCCAGGCCTGACCCTGATGGTTCTTCTTTTCAGAGCAAACGCCACTGTTGTGCCAACACGCTCATTCCAGGTTGTTTTCATGGAGAGATAAGCCAGTCCATTAAAGACTGACTTTTCAGGGGGTAGGGCTGGCACGGCAGGGAGAGCAGCCCTCGGGAGCGAGGAGGGGGACAGGCATTCTGGGGCAAGTTCTCCCACATCCCTGGGAACTTGTCAGAGCAACAGGCGGGCTGGAGAGATGCAGCTGATAGCGACGGCCACAAAAAAAATGCAGCGCAAGGGGAACGCCGGCTCCTGTCTGAGCCGGGGAGCCCACCACGCAGACCCCGGGTGTCAGCACCCCCATGCCCCCAGGAACTCTCCCACTGGAAGGGTCCCCCCAGGACCTTCACAGCAGGACCCACGCCAGGGGTGTCTGCCAAAGTTGATAACCAGTGAAGCATCGACCAGAGCTCCCTAACCCAGGTTTAGGACCAAAACACGCGCAGGAATCTCCCACAGCAGGGCACAGACAGGTATAAATTCTCGGTATGCGCTCGGTATGGAGCCGAACCCTCTCTCCCCATACCTCCAACTTCAGCTCTTCCCTCCCCTCGCACTTTCTGCCGCAAAGAGTCCCAAAGGCAGCGGGGCTGGCGGGGAAGGGGGGATGGTGCGGGCAGGGACCCCCATCCCCTCCGCGGGGGCACTCACCGAGCAGGTCTCTCTCCCTCCTGCCGTGTCCCTTCCTCCTTCCTGCCGCCGGCACGGCGGGGCCGGGGCAGAGCCGGGGCGGCGCTGCGGGAGCCGCGGGGCCGCTCCGGGAACGGGCCGGGCTGGGAACGGGCTGGGAACGAGCCGGGAGCGGTGCCGGAGCAGAAGCGGAGCCGGTGCCGCGGAGGGTCTGGAGCGGCGCTGATGCCGGAGCAGGAGTCGGAGCAGGAGCGGGTTGGAGCGGTACCGGAGCGGGCTCAGAGGCGGAGCAGGAGCAGGAGCGGGCGCTGGTGCCGGTGCCGGTGCGGGCGCGGTGCGGGACCCGGCGCGGTGCGGGAGCGCTGCCGGCGCTCGGCTCGGAGCGGCGCTGGCTCCTCCCCGCCGCAGCCCCGGGATAAGGAGCCCGCTCGGCCCCGCTGCCCCGGCAGCGCTGCGGGCAGGGACACACGGACACACGGACACGCACACGCTGATCGCAGCCTCGCACCCGGGTCAGGGGAGTTCCCTCCTGCGGCTCTTCCCACCCGTCCCTGAGGCTCTTGGCAGATGTGCCGGAGCGGGGGCAGCCCGTGAAAGCGGGACCTGCATCCCCTGAGCAGCCTCCTGTCGCTCTGTCGGTGGGGTTACGTATTTAGCAGCGGCTCCGCCATCCGTTCCAGCTACTTGTTGTCTTATATTTAGTCAAACATTCTCGGTTTGCCAGAAATAGAGCAGCCATGGAAATAAATCAGGCTGACTGGAGGTGCCAACATTGTCTGCCTGAAACTAATTAATTTCTTATATCCTTAGCTATATTAGTCCTCGCCTTCCCTCTGCAGCCCGTCCTGCCTGTCAGCAGAGCTGCTGTAATTAGTGGGTATCGTGCCTAAATCTGGGGGATGTGCAGGAGGTTTGTTGTGGCGGGGGAAGGCTGAGGGATGCCAGCAGGACACCAGGGCAGGGAAGGAGCAAAATCCATCTACACCGAGTATGGAAAGTGGGAACACAGAGGACACAGCAGGGCTGGTGAGGGGGAGGAAAGGGGGCACAAGTTCTCTGTGGGGAAATCCTTTTCGGGGGAGCATATGGGGTCTTCTCCTTTCAGGACCTCTGAGATCCCACAAGACTGTCCAGGAGACACAAATTCAGGCTTTCTGCTGCTGACAGAACTCCTTTTTCCCTTTTCCTTTTGGAACGTGGGAGTCTCGTTGGACTTGCTGACTCTCCTTTCTTATATTAGAACCATCAAGCTTGCTGGGAGACACTTTGAGGAACGGGGAAGTGGCTCACAGATGGTGTGGTAAAAGCTGAGCCCCCGTGGAGGAAAGGGATGTTTTGCCAGGATCCATTTTCTCTGCTCACTTTGGCCTGACCCACGTCAACACCCGAGGCCCCCAGGGGTGCTGGTGGGCTGTGTGAGTGGGGTCAGACATCCAACAGCAGCTCTTCAGTCAACCCCCTTCGTGAGCACGTGAGCTGAGCCCTGTCTGAGCACACAGGGCTGAACCAGCGGGCTCTGAACTGGAACTGCCCCCCCAGAAGCAGATGGGGAGTTCAAACTTGAGTCACATTGACCCATTTGGGACGTGGTGACTTCGCAGCGGGGGTGAGAGCCTGTCCTTCGGTGGCACAGGGCGAGCAGCTCGTTTCTCACTGCCTGGAGCTGCTGGTGTCTCACCTGCATACTGAGGATTTGCATCCTCTGCTCTGCAGGGCTCAGGGAGGAGCAGCAGAGGGTGAGACCCAGAGGTGTGATGTGCCTCTTGGCTTGTGTGGCCGCCTGCCCTCTCCTAACCCCTAGTCAATGAGTACCTGGTCATGTGGGTGCACACTCAGCTCCCTGTGAGTTGGCCATCACGCTCCCTTCGTGCCACTGGCTGCAGAAATGGGCAGGTTTTCCACAGCACAGTGTGCAGCTCTGGAATCCCTCTGACTTCCCTATTCAGCCATCTCCTCTATTTAAAGAGGAGATGTCACCCTGGGGGGAAGGGGAGATGTCTGGAACACTTACGTGCCATTCCCAGCACAGTGCAGCCCTCGGTGGAACAACTGCTGCCACACCCCCCATACCACAGCTCTGAGACCACCTGGCACTCTGAGTCCCCTCTGAAACAGAAGCCAAAGGGGATCCCCAGCAAAAGCTCCAGGAAATTAAGGAGAGGAAGGCCCCAAACTGTAGCTGGACATGGAAAGCAGCTCGAAGAGAAAGGGCAAGAATGTTACAGGCAATTAGTGGACAGAGACATGAGCTCAGTGGTTGTGTCACACGAGCTGCTTATTGGTGCGTAACATTCCTCCTAAACATAAATTACAATCATCAACATGCCAGGGGTTGCTGTGAGCCTGACAGGGATGGCTCTGGAGGAGGATGTGGAGAGGGAAAGCACCCAGCTGGGGTTGCTGTCCCTGCCTGTTCAAAGACTGGAGGGGAGGCATCAGGCTGTGATGGATGTTCCCCAGCATGTGGGACAAGAACACAGCACATCTGCCTGGCAGACTGATGAGGGACTAACGAGGCCCTGCGCTGTTAATGGGGCTGGGGCTGCTCCACTGGTAACAGCACAAAGCAAAGGGTGCCTTATCCTGTGCCCTGTGAAGGGCTGAGGTCGCTGGTGTTGAACTTGGCACCCACCTGAGATGCCTCTGCAATCCCAGCAGTGTGTTTCCAAGGCAGGGCCTCGGGGCATTTTCCAAACATGCCAACTGTAATGGCTGAGCAAAAGGCAGACAGAAGTGCTTGTTTTTCTGTGAGTTTGTCTAAAATTACTTTGGGTTCTGGGGCTGTTTTTTCCCGTCTTGTGTTGTCACAGTGGAATCGCACAGCCTCACAGAGGTCCGGGGGAAATCAGGTGTGAAAATGGGCTCGTTGTAGCTGGGAGTGTTTCATAAAGAAGCGGGTCTGTGGTTAGGAGTGTTTCATAAAAAAATGGCTCTGGCTGGGAAACTGCAAAACTTCATGTAGGTCCATGGCTGTGACCACCTCAGCTCGTGCTGGGGGAGACTTTGCTCAGCACTTCCTTCTCCTCCTCCCGGTGTATTCCACCCTGGGGATAGTTATGCAGTTCCTAGTGTGTCCCTTGCCTGGGGCAGCGGGAGGAGTGCTGGGTTTTGTCCCGCAGCTGTTCTCCCTCTTGAGATAAATTGCATCTTTTGAAGACACGGGGGGCTGTGCTTCCTCACCGCGGTGTCTGCTGTCACCTCCCTGCAAACAGCACCTCGGCCCAGCTGCAGAGGGGAGAGGAGGGGGAGGTGAGAACGAGGCAAGGCTGCAGCAGGCAGAGAGGCCTGACACACACCTGGGTGCTCCTGCCTTTGGGGGTGCCACATCCCGGCAGGAATGTGATGCACATAACCCAGGGTGACGGCTCTGGGCTGTTCCTGCCCTCGGCACAACCCTGGGATTTCCTCTGGGCAGAGGCAGTCCTGTGTCTGCTGCACACCAGATCACTCATTCTCCTTTATTCCCACCCTGAAAAGCCAGCCCAAATCACACAGCAGCCCGAGGTGCCGAGCTGGGCTCCTTCCCTAGGCCAGGGGAAATGGGTACCTGTGTTCCACGGGCTGCCAGCGGGATGCAGGTGGGAGCGAGTGCCAGGAGCCACAGGGAACGCTGCAGCATCCTGAGCAGCATTTCAATCACAGCCCCCGAGGGGTTTGCTGGGGCTGCTCCTCTCCAGAACCTTCCCTGTCAGCAAACAGCACTGCAGGGATGTGAGAGGGACAGTGGGATGGCGAGGAGTCAGCACAGCCCTGGGGACACGGGGAGAGCAGTCCCTGCCCCAGTGTCACATCCCAGGGGCAAAAACAGCCTGAAAGACTCCACTGTGCAGCCCTTGTCCCTGTCCCAACCTGTCCAGGGGGTGCTGCAGGGACTGACACAAAGCTGGAGCCCAGGCAGTGCCTGCCTTGCAAAGCTGAGCCTGCCCCAAGCCCTCTCTCTGCGTGGCTCCTGGCCAGACACATTAAATCCTCCTCTTCTCCCTCCCATGGTGAGGCCCCGGTGGGGACACTCCATCCAGGGCTGGGAGCTGGCCTTGGGAGAGAGGGGGAGAGAGCCCAGGGCAGCCTGGGGAGGGGAGACAGCTGGAGGACTCCAAACCTGCCTTAGGAGGAGACCAAGGCAGCTGAGGCTGAGCAGAGGTGCCAGCGGTCTCCAAATGCACAACAGAGCAGCCCATCCTCTGTTACAGCCACGCAAAGTGCCCTTTGGTGTAAGAACAGCTAATTTGGGGTGTAGCAACACCTAATTTTTGCTGTAAGCTGCTCACCCCCATTTAATCCCTGTCCCCAAAGTGGGGAGCAGCCCCAGCCACCCCTCCCAGAGCCCACACAGGGAGGCAGGAGCTCACCTGCACAGTGTCCAGGCTGGAGGGAAGATGCCAAAACACACTAAGCACTGACACAGCAGGCCCAGTAAGAACCAGTTAAGAGAGATACGACCTCCAAACAGCGCTGTACCCAGCAGGCATCACTGTCTCCCTAGAGAGAGGTCCAGAGCTCCAATCTGCAGCCCAGTGCTCTCACACAGGAGCCCTGGCAATCCCAGCAAATACACACAGTATATTAAACCTGACAGCTCCCACTGAAGCATCAGAGAAATGGCAGCAACGTGAACGTGCTTGACTTCTCCAGGAAGCCCAGGGCAGCTCCAGGGGGGTGGGGGTTTCACCTGTTTTCCTCCTGCAGCTCCTCTGGCCCCGCTCCCTGCCACGCCGAGCAGTGCCTGGGCTGCAGAGCCCTGCAGAGCCCCAGCAGCTCAGGGGCACGTTTTCTCCACTGCTAAACTCACATGGACATGCATGTGTGCTGCTCTGAGGAGAGCAGCTCCCCGGAGGTCTGCAGGGAATATTTCACAGTCACTGCATCCAGGCAGCAGTTCCCTTCCCCACTGCCCTGACATTCAATAGGCACCGAGTCATGGAAAGAAAATGTGTTCAATGCCTCCCCTGCCCTGGCCCGTCCTCCCTTGTGCACAGGCAGGCATGTGGAAATCATTGCCCAGCGCTGCATTTCAGCAACAATCCGAGGGCTGGAGTTGAAAGCTGGCTGCTAAGTCGAGGAAAACTGGCAAATGGGCCCCATGCTCCAGTGCCCAGCCTGGCACGGCAGGATCTGCTCCTGCCGAGGGCTGGAGAGGCCAAAGCCACCCCCTGGCATCACTGGGAGGGCGGGGGGTGCTGCTGTGGCCCAGTGGCTGGGCACGGTGCTCACAAGGGCTGCAGTGGCTGTGGACCACCCTGCTTTGACAGCAACCCCCCCACTTACATCTCTAAAAGTGTAAATCACAAAATCACAGAATGGTTTGGGTCGGAAGGGACCTTAAAAATCACCCAGTGTCACCCCCTGCCACGGGCAGGGACACCTTCCACCAGCCCAGGTTGCTCCAAGCCCCATCCGACCTGGCCTTGGACACTCCCAGGGATCCAGGGGCAGCCACAGCTTCTCTGGGCAACCTGTGCCAGGGCCTCCCCACCCTCACAGGGAACAATTTCTTCCCAATATCCCATCTAAACCTTCCCTCTTTGAGTTTGAAGCCATTCCCCCTTGTCCTGTCACTCCAAAAATGGGAATATTGTTATTATTCACAGGCAGGTGAATTGAGGAGCATGGGAAATTGAGACAAGTTCAGATATCCTTGGTA